TTTTCTTTCTTTTATTTCTTTCTGTTTTTGATGTTATTACATGTATTATGGAGATTGCATTTAAATGTATACAGTAATTGTGATCTATTTTACTGTATATCTGTTTATCTTTACAGTATTAGCAATTCAGTTCCCTCCAAAAAAGAACAGAAGTTAATCACAGTGTTACATTTTGAAATGGCATAGCATAGAATTACCAGATTGTAAAGAGAAGAGGAAAAAGGAAATTAAGATACAAATGTTTGGAATTAAATGCTTGTCCTCAGTAAAAACTAGATACAGATCAGAGTGAAAACAAGCAATAACAGAGGAGAAACCTTATAGAACTGACTGTCAGCAAGATTGATGCAATTGTTTCCATGCAGATTCATACAGATGTGCTGTCCCAGACATGGAACATTTCTGGGGAGGCGTTTCATTTATTGTTTGGGATCCATCCATTAGTTGACACAGGAATGTAGGGCACAGGATTTCTCCTTGGGAATGCATTAATAAGGTGGTGCTCTTATCTCTTCTGTTTGAGTTGCTTTTGGATTGATGGAATATTCTTATTCCTATTTTTTTTCTATCTTTTTCTCTCTGCTTTAAAAGTACAACATAAAACATAGTTTACAATTAATTTTAAAAACCATGTCTTTAGAACTGAATTAAGGCACAGCCAAGTGGTTCCATTCAGATGAAATCCACTAGTCTTTGAGCCAGCAAGAAAGTATGCCAGCATCAATTATGTGACCCAGGCAGCTGAGCTCTATTGTGCCTCAATAATGAAACTGGTGAGTAGTGCTATGTTTAAAGAATGAATCCAGGATGAGTTAAAGGAAACGATTGGTAAATTCCCTGGCTTTGTTTCTGTGGCTGCCAAGTGTCACCTGAACCAGAAAAAAACAACCACCAATCATTCTTTTTAACATGGGAGGGAACAGGGCAAGAGAAATGGGTGCTTTGAATGGTAGGTTTAGTCATCTGCAAAATTGTATAAATTATAAATTACAGGTATAAAGTGTTCTCTTTCTATGATTTGTCATTCAGCAACTTCTGAACAATGAGCTACTGATTTTCTGAAAGAGCGCTAAACTCATGTCACAGGAATGGGGGAAGAACTGACAATCAATAACAAGCAAACTCTCTCTTGTCTAGTGCTACAAAGAAATAGCTGGACAAGCAATGAAATTTGTGGCAGACAACACCCTACAGTGTCCCATCAACTAGGCCAAATGGCACTCTACTTTTATAAATAAATAAAAAAATAGTAAAAAGTGCAATCATACCAAATCAGCAGTTAGAACTTGCAAATTTCAGTTCTACATAAAATAAATGACTTTTTTCTATTCCCCACTTATATTTCTTTTTTTAAAGATTTTTTATTTTTATTTTTTACACATCTCTTTAAGTGAGCAACGTGATTCCAGGTTACAACATTTATACATAGTCATAATTACATTTCCAGCTTTCTTATATAATTTCATATCAAATCATTATCTATTCCACTAATTTTTTAAATAAGTTATCACTTCATATTTCAATTCATTAATTCAATATCAAAAGCATTTCATCCTCACATATATTTTCCACTCTTTATCCCCTATTATTTCCATTTTCAGCTTACCACCTATTTTATTTTACATTATTCATTATTATCTTCATTAACTTTCTCAAAGTTGATATATAATAAACAAACAAAAAAGAGTAAAAATAAAATAAAACTAATATATTCAGGATCCACACAGGATCCAGTCTACAATAAATCTTATATTTATTCCAGAGATATTCATATAACCATTTCATATTTTTTCTTTGTTTTCACTTAGCCAAAGTTTACCTATGAAATTTTATTAAATTTTCATTCCCCTCCTTTTTAATCATAATATAATACTCTCATTACAAATACCGTATATACTCGAGTATAAGCCGAGTTTTTCAGCCCATTTTTTGTGCTGAAAAAACCCCCCTCGGCTTATACTCGAGTCAGATTCCCCTCTGAAAAAAAATATGGTGTGGAGCTCTGGAGCTGGGCAGCCGCTTCCCTGCTTCCGTGTTTCCTTTGCAACTTGTAAGCATGGGGGTAATCGGAAGCAGAAAAGTTCTTGCATGAGGATATATTGTTTTTTCTTTTTTTAACTGTTTTTAGGGGGGGGAAAGACCCACCATTATGTGAGAATGCTCAGACATGAAATCTATCCTCCCGAAAATAAGTGTGTGTGTGTGGGGGGGGGGGGTTTAACAGAGGGAAGACGTAGGGAGAAGGCAAAAGCAACGGAAGATCCTTCTGGGGAAACTGAGGGGGAGACTCACCCTTGGTCCAGATGAGCCCCCTTCCCCGCCCCTAAGGAAGCAGAGGCAGCCAGCAAGGGCAGGCAAGCCCCACTTCGTGGACTCCATCTGTCCTCGCTCCCACCCAAAGCCACGAAGTCCCCCAATTGCGCAGCCCAGATTCGCCCTCCCCTCAGGGGGCAGCAACGACGCCCAGTGTTTCCCAAGACAAGAAGCTCCGCCGTGCAATGAAAGCGCCCTGGCTCTAGGCTCGCGGGCTCAGAAAACAATGCAAGCCGAGGTGGCTTCAGCTCCGCTTGGCTTCGTTTCCTCAGCCCCAGCTACTTTCAGTCCATTCGGGAGGAGGAGGAGGTGGTGGTGTGGTGGTGGCTCACGTTGTTTTCTGAGCTCTAGGCTCGCAGGCTCAGAAAAGAACGCAAGCTGCCACCGCCGCCGCCGCCGCCACCTCCTCCTCCTCCTCCTCCTCTTTCTCCCGAGTGGACTGAAAGCAGCTGGGGCTGAGGAAACAAAGCCAAGCGGAGCTGAAGGCACCTCGGCTCGCGTTGTTTTCTGAGCCCGCGAGCCTAGAGCCAGGGCGCTTTCATTGCACGGTGGAGCTTCTTGGGAAACGCTGGGCGTCGTTGCTGCCCCCTGAGGGGAGGGCGATTCTGGGCTGTGCGATTGGGGGTCTTCATGGCTTAACGCGGGGATTTCTGATTCCCCTTACACGCGCGTGGATATGCCGCGGGGCATTTTCTTCCAAACGCCCCACTGGCAGAGAACACTGACTTTCATAGTGAGATCGTTTTCCAAATTAATTGATTCACTTATGATCTCTCTCTCTCCGGAATAGTCAAGCCCTTTCCAGCACGCGCAATCCGCCGCTGCCCCTTTGCACCTTGCAAATGCAAAATCCTGGGGGTTTTGCATTTGCAAGGTGCAAAAGGGGGGCGGCGGATCGCACCTGCTGGAAAGGGCTTGACTATTCCGGGGAGAGAGAGAGAGAGATCATAAGAACGGCTCTTGCTTTTTTCTTGCAAGGGAGAGAGTGACTCCTGCCTCCCACTGTCATCATCGTCTTCTTCTTTTGGGTTAGTGAATCAATTAAACCTTTCATGATAGTGAGATCGTTTCCCAAATTAATTATTTTTATTTTTGAAATTTACCAGTAGCTGCTGCATTTCCCACCCTCGGCTTATACTCGAGTCAATAAGTTTTCCCAGTTTTTTGTGGTAAAATTAGGTGCCTCGGCTTATATTCGGGTTGACTTATACTCGAGTATATACGGTACTTAGAGGTGGCGCACTTAAATTGGTAATTCAGGGGGGGAAACTATTTCTTAGAAGGAGTGTATCTAATTAGAATTCAAGATGGAATATACAAATGTGACAAAAGTATCAAAGTATAATAATTATAAAGATAACATAGATGAATTAAATAAGAGGTAAGCATTTGGAATAATAAAATAGAAAATGTATAAAAGCATTGTTAAGATAAGAAGTTGAATACAAAAACTGAATATGTAACTATGGTCATATTTGTATGTATATATGAAACCTGTAATCATACTGTTCACTAAAAAGAGATATTTTTAAAATGTGGAAAACTGAAAACTTTTTTTAAAAAAAGAAAAGATACATTCATCAAGAGTCAAGAATCATAAGATACAATACTTAACAATAGTCATAGAGTACAATAAGCAATCAAATCATACTAGGAAATGGTCAATAAAAATTGTTAGGATACAAGCAACAAGGTTACAATAGTCATAAGTGGGAGGAGATGGGTGAAAGGAAGGATGTGAGGATTAATAGTAATGCAGACTTAGTAAATAGTTTGATAGTGTTGAGGGAATTGTTTAGCAGAGTGATGGCATTTGCAAAAAAACTGTTCTTGTGTCTAGTTGTTCTGGTGTGCAGTGCTCTAAAGAGTGGTTTTGAAGGTAAGAGTTGAAACAGTTTATGTCCAGGATTTGACGGGTCTGTAACTATTTTCACAGCCCTTTTTTTGATTCGTGCAGTATACAGGTCCTCAATTGAAGGCAGGTGGGTAGTAATTGTTTTTTCTGCAGTCCTAATTACCCTCTGAAGTCTGTGTCTGTCTTGTTGGATTGCAGAACCACAGACAATTATATAGGTGCAGATGACAGACTAATTCCTCTGTAGAACTGTATCAGCAGCTCCTTGAGCAGTCTGAGCTGAGTTGGTGCAGAAAAAACATTCTTTGTTGTGTTTTGATGATGTTTTTGATGTTAGGTGTCCATTTTAGGTCTTGTGATATGATAGAACCTAGAAATTTAAATAGTTTTCTTGGTCAATTAATAGTTGGGTCTTAAACCCACTACTTATCAATGGCTCGTATTCTTCCTAGGGTGAGGAGAAGGACATATAGGAAACCCATCTGATATCTTTGCCAATGGCTTAGTTTATTCAATGAGGGGCCAATCCTTACCCCCCACTCCACACCTTCATGCAAATGTTGGGAGATCCTGTAATGGTATGTGAAAATGATCCTGGGAGACCGAAAGAACATCCCTGGTTCAGACAACATCGGTCAACTAAATCTGACCCTGAAGCAGGAGGGTGAAGAAAGTTTACCAGAAGGAAAAGTTAGCTTAATTTCAGTGTGAATTTATAATGACCTGCTCTAAAATTTGCCTTGCTTAGAAATAGCAATATTATACATTAAACTCCAGAACAAAATAAAACCCATCCAAGTTTCATGGGCCTTTCCAATATTTCTTCTCCTACCTGTGGCAGAGTTGCAGCCACTCTTTCAGCTCCAACACAAAGAGATGATTCTAAAAATATTGAGAACAGCTTTCTATTATCTGTGAGACCAAAAGAAATGGTGAAAGCAGATTGTTATCAATAAACAGCCAGAAGCAGATTCCACTCAAGATAACCAAAAGAATTGCCGGGACATCCAAACCTCACATCACATGGAAAAAGCCTCTTACCTGGCATCACATCTTGACTTTGATCTTTCTGGAAGCTCTCCCTTAACTGCAGGTCTTGAGAAGGTTTGAATGAATCTATCCTCTCCTTGGGATACTCGGTCACAGCTTCCAAAGATTTCTAGAAATGATGCGGCACAATAAAGAAGGGACGAGTACAGAGATAGAAATGAATTATCATACTGCACTCTCAGACTAGCAGAACCCATCACTGAATTTGGAAAGTAAGAATAGAAGTATTGCCCCAAATATATCCTTCGGAAGAATGAAACAATAGGTCTTAGGAGTTCATAATCCCAGAAAATTCTACCAGAGGCAAATTAACAAATGCATTTTAACTGCCACAATTACATTCTCACTGTGATGACCAGGTTTCCCCAGTTTCCTCCACAGCCAAAGGAGCCACTCTCCCACTCCCTGTCAGCTGTTCATTTTCCTTCTTGGATTCAGAGGGGGCGTGACACACTTGCAACTTTTCTTGCATCTTCTCAGACTCCTAGGTCAGCAAGAAGCCTTCAGCTATGGACACAGCCTGGGAACTGGTCTCCATTCCATACTCCCGCACCCAATTCTCCATCTCTGGGAGAAGGACAGCTAGGAACTGCTCCAGGAGCACCAGGTCCAGCATCTGAGCCTTTGTGTATCTTTCTGGCTGCAGCCATTGACGGCAAAGGTGGTGAAGCTGACTACAAACATCTTGAGGACCCCTCCCCTCCTGGAACTGTATTTTTCTGAAGTGAAAGAATTGTACCTCTGAACTACTGGCTTCTTCTTCTTGCCTCTTTTGCCCAGGACTTGCTCCATTTGTCCCACAGCTCGAAGGCTGAGCAGCTGGACGGCCTTTTCCAGCTGTCACATCTGCTGAGTGATGTCTGTTCATTTTCTCTCTGGTCTCTAATCCAGCACCAAAATGGATCCATGCATTTCCCCAGGTCTTACTAATCACAAGAGGTCTGTCCAAATCTAAGGCCATTTGGTAGCCTTTCCTCACGGTATACTTCAGTCTCCAAAGGAACCAGGAATGATTTCCAGCTTATGTATCTGAAATGGAAAAAATAGATATTCAATAAGGCAACACATTTGAATACAGAGCATCCTTCTCCTCCCCCCAAAAATCCAAAATAAGTAATTCTAGTGTACCCACTAATGACTGAAAGAAGGGGAGTTATCTTTTTAGGAAGACTGACTACTGCAGTAAATTCTTGAAAGCGCTTCTAGATCAGCTTCTGTCAAGGATTCAAAATATTGGATAAATAAATTTAGAAATGTTTTGGATTTGTATTGCCTGCAATCTCTGCAGAATCCAAATCATATATTTCTGAGGTCACAGACAGCAATTGAGACACATGAATTTGATAATTAAATCAATCAACATTTGAATTTTTTGTAAAACTTTAGCCAGCAGAACCCCATCAAACCTCTGGCCCAAACCCTGAGGGAAACTCCAAAAACCAGAATTAATAAATGGTTATCCAATGCATAAAGAACTAATACCTGAATAAATATACCACCTATTCCTTAACGTTATGCTTTGAATCAGGAATCTCCTGGAAACCTATTTCCAAAGTTTAGCCTAATCCAGTCTTTTTCAAACTTGACCAATTGAAGATGGCCTTATCGAACACATTGTGTTAATGATGAACCTCATCCCCGAACCCACCTCCGTCCTGCAACATCTTCCTTATTTACCTGCCGGCAGAGCCACCAAGAGATAGTGGGGAAAGGCGGGAAAGGAGGAAACCGAGTTCCAGTCCTGGCGCACCTTGCACGAAACTCGTTGCACACGGAGATCCAGCCTTGCATACAAAGCCAGCCGGGGGAACTCCGATCACTCGTTTCTCTCGCCCTAAGGGGGAAGTAAGGGAAACCCCTTCTGGAAACGGGACCAAGAAATCTGGAGAAAATTTTCCAGAAGTCAAGGCTGATTTGGAAGCACAAATCTCTGTTTTGCAAAGCCAACCTCTCCCTCTTCTTCCCTGCAGACGTTTTCCCATAGAAATGAAGGGGAAATGGCTCTCTCCTTTCTGGCAATCCTCGCCTCCCACCCCCCACCTTGGGGGGCAATGCGGCGGGTCCTTAGCTTTGCTAAGGCTCCTGCATGCACAGGAACCGCAGGAAAACTTGGGACCCCGGGCTACCCTCTTCTCACAACTCCGAACCTGATGAACTTTTCGTTCTCTTCTTGCACGCTTCCACCGCCAAAGAAAAGCCCGCCACTCGTTGAACTCTGAGTCACGTGTGGATCTCTGCATCCGGTAAAGGTTTTCCTGCAGCCTCTGGAAAGTCTCAGCCTAAGGATCACAGCGAGGGGAAGCAGAATCGGAGGCGGTATGGAAAGGGTTAATGCCCTCCCAGTCTTTTGCCCCTGGCAGCACGTGTCTCTCTTGCGCTCGGGACAGAGGCAGAGCGCGTGCTCAGTTCCCACTGTGATTGGACGGGGGGAGGGGGAGCTGTTCAGCTTTTCCAACGGCTGTCCGGTGGATCCTGCGAGCAATCCAGAGGACCCTGGGAGGGTGGAGGATATCCTGTTGCATGTGGGTCTGGGATAATGGGCATTGGAGTAGAAGGAAAGGTTCTCTCTAAGATTGCTTATCTATAAAGAAAGTGGCATCTCCAGCAGGCTGTCAGTTTGTAGATTTTCCTCGTTTTAATATCTAAGAACCACCTGTGAACTTTGAGAAAATTTATGTGGAGACTCAAAAGTCGCTTTCCTCAAGAGCAGCTTCTCTGAAGGGTCTGTAGAAATTTGAAGAGGCTTCACAAATGAGTCAAAATCCTGTCAGATATGGCTGGGTGGTCAAAAGACAAGAAATAGGAGTTTCTCTTTGAAAGACAACTTGTATCTTGTGGTTGTTGTCAAACTCAGCCCTGAAGTGATGTGATATATGGGGGAATGGCAGAAATGCAGGGAGGAAATGGACAGGTTAGGAAATGTAAGATTTGTATTTATTACATTTGCCTTTGTCAAATTCATACCCCTGGGCGGCTAAGAAGGTTGGAAGCGTCTGGCAATAATAAAAATAATCCTGAGGAAATGATCCTGATGGAAAGGAGACATCAAAAGAAAACAAGTTCCAAAATGGAGAGAAAGCTCAAACCCGTGGACCTTTTAGAAATTTGCCAAAAGAAATAAAGACTTGCTGGCTTGAGATTAGTCTGCCTTTGGAGGTGACACTACAAGAAAGAAAAAGATTGGATTCCTTAATACAAGAGTTTCAGGATAGTTTCCAATATGGACTGGTCCTGATTGGACTAACTGTTCATAAGAGAGACACAATCCCTGTGCTTGTCTGTGGCCAATATAATTCTCAAGAAAGGTGATGAATCATTCTCCCTCTTGCATTCTGAAAGGTAAAACTAATTCAGATATTTAAATCCTAGTGAGAAAAGCATTGACAGTGGGAATCAAAACCCTCAGATGAAGAACCCAATGCAATAACAGGCTATCACCTTCAACCAGGGATCATCTCATCAAGCAGGCCATCCCTGAGTGGGCTTGAACTATCATCCTTTTGGTTAACAGGCAGATTTGTTAAGCTGTTGTGCCACAGAGACTTGCCACGGGGCTTTGCATCAGTCTCCCTCAGTCTGAAGAGCAATACTTCCAGAGCTTTGGTTTGGTTTTCATAGTGTGGCTCCTTTTCCCCCATTAAAAACAAAATCTGGGATGTAAACCCAGTCTGGTGACCTTGCCTGCACATCCCAGAATGATAAAAGTTGAAAAAAGCCATGTACCAGTCGAGTCACAGGATTGGGAACCCTGCATGATGCCCCTATACCACTGGCACAGCTATCGAAATTTTGTCTCAAGAGTTGTAAAATTTATGTCAAAGGTTTCTTTTTCCATCTGATAGTGTAAGAAAAACTCTTCTGAAACCCAACATTCAACCAGCAGGCTGAGAATACCTTAAATTCTGCTCCCTCATCCGTCATTCTGAAGAAACAGAGCTCTTTAATCCATGATAGGAGCTGAAGTTGCCAGAACCTTGGGCAAGAATGTCATTCAATATAATGCAAACACAAGCAATAGAATATAATCAACTAGTGTCTTAAGCTTTAAAAGAGCTGATTTTAACAAACTCAGAGAGAGCCTAAGCAAAATTTCATGGATAAAAATCCTAAAGGGGAAAATAACTCAAGAAGTGTGGGAAACACTGAAAAATATGACGATAAAAGCCCAGTCCAACACAATACCACTAAATCCAAGAAGAAACCAGCATGGTTGCACAAAGATCTCTGATAAACTGAATGACAAAAAGGATAAGTACAAAAAATGGAAAGAAGGAGATACAACTAAGGCAGAATATCAGCAGATAGCCGGAATCTACAAACATGAAGTCAGGAAAGCAAAGGCTCAGAATGAACAAAGTCAAAGATAATTTTAAAAAAGTTTCTTTCAACATATAAATAACAAGAAAAAATCAAGGAAACAGTCTGTCCACTAAAGAGAGAAGATCACAAGTTTAAGTGCCTGTTTATCCACTAAAGAGAGAAGATCACAAGTTTAAGTGCCTGTAACAGGCAGTAGAAAGGCAGCAGAGCTGCTTAACTCATTATTTGCATCAGTCATCACACAAAAAGAAACTATAGCCCAACCTACCAAAAACAACTCTAAAAGACAGACTAGAAATAAAAATTAACATAAGCAAGAAAATAGTAAGAGAACACCTGTCTGACCTTGATGAATATAAATCACCGGGACCTGATAGATTACATCCCAGAGTTCTGAAGAAGCTGGCAAATGTTATCTCAGAACCATTGGATCATATCTTTAAAAAATCTTGGAGCAACTGAGGAATTACCAGAGGATTGGAAAAGAGCTGATGTGTTTTCCATCATCAAAAAAAGTGGGGAGGGGGAATAGACCCAGGAAACTACAGACCAATCAGCCTAACTTCAATATGTGGGAAGATACTGAAAATAATATTTAAAAAAAACCAGATCTGTGAACATATAGAAACAAATAGTTATAAGTAGTAACTAGCACAGGTTTCTTAAAAATAGATCATGCCAAACCAATCTTATTTCATTTTTTGGCAAAGTGACTAAATTAATAGCGAAATGCTGTAGACATAGTATATTTAGACTTCAGCAAGGCATTTGACAAAGTAGACGACAACTTACTGGTACTTGGTAAGCTAGAAAAATGTGGGATAGACAGCATCATCACCAGATGTATTTGTAACTGGCTGACAAACCATATTCAATGAATGGTCCTTAATGGCACTACATCTACATGGAGGAAAGTGGGGTACCGCAAAGTTGTCTTGGATCCAGTACACTTCAATATCTTCATACATGACTTAGATGAGGGAATAGAAGGGGAACGCATCAAATCTGCAGATGACACTAAGCTGGCAGGAATAGCCAACACTCCAGAAGACAAGCTCAGGATCCAAACAGATCTTGACAGACTTCAACAATGGACCCTACCCAACAAAATGAATTTTAATGTGGAAAAAAGCAAGGTTTTACACCTGTGCA